GGTAGGCCCGGCCCTGTCCTGCCTCAGACCCTCCTGCCTGTCTCTGTCCCCTCCCTAACCTTTCTCAACCCAGCTCCTCCTGGGGGGAACCCAGCCCTGCGGGTCCAGTGCTGCTCTTGGGGAACACAAGCAGCCCCCGACACCTGAGCCAGTGCGCTGAGGGCTCTCACCACAAGGCCACACAGCCTTTGGCCCTCTCGTCCCTACTACAAAGGAATCAGCGGCCCACTTTTTTGTTTCCTTTTGTTTTTTGAGACAGGGTCTGGGTATATAGCCCAGGCTGGTCTCAAGCTCAGAGCACTCTGCCTGCCTCAGCCTCCTGAGCAGCAGGATGACAGGCGTGCACCACCATACCTGGTGGGTCAGGCCCACCAGATAGAAGCTGAGGCTCCAGGAAGATCTGCCCCAGACTTGGCCCAGGTCTGGCCGGGTCCTACACCCACTGTGGGACCGGCAGGGAGGGTGGGCCTCACCCAGGGCTCGCTCCTCTATTCACCCCTCGCTCCTCCAGGGCCCCCCGGGAGAACCGAGGGCTGGGGAGGCCGGGCGAAGGACAGGGCCACATGCAGGGAGAGGGGCAGCAGAGCTGGGGTGGCTGCCTTGTGCAGAAAGCATGAGAACAAAACAGCCAGAGGCCCCGGAACCCACAGAAGCCCCCGGTCCCGGGGCTGTGAGAGGGGTGTGCAAGGCCACAGGACACAGGGCGGCCACAACTGCACAACAGGGTCACCCGCCCCTGCCTCGCCGCCGGGACAACCAGCTAGGATGGCGCAGCTGCAGCCTGCGGCGGCCCAGGGCTCGGCTCAAGGGCCCCTGGGATGACGGAGGGCAGGCAGGGGAGGCCCCATCACCCGCCCTCCCCACCCTGGCCCTGCCTGCCATGCCAGGTCTCCGGCTCTGCTCTCCGCCCCACAGGGTCCAACCTTGTGTGCTGCCTGCAGCGCCTCGGCCCAGGCCCCTTTCCCGCCACACACACGCGCACACACGCACACATGCACACACGCGCGCGGCCTCACCTCATAGATGAGAAACACCTTGGCACCCACGTAGATGCCCATGCGGGTCACAGCCCTCACGGCAGCATTCATACCTGCCGGGGAGACGGGGCACCCATCAGGCCACCCTTGGGACGCCGGAGACCCACTGCCCATAGCCACGGGGCTCTGTGCCCAGGGATTCACACACAGGGGTGGCCTCGTCCTCTGCAGGACTCCCAGGCCAGGCCGTGGGGACGGGAGGCACTGGGCGCCCTTGCAGGCACGAAGGACCCGAGGCTCGAGCTCCACCCGGTGCTAAGGAGACACCAGAGGGGCCCAGGCCCCAGCCACCAGGGATGGCCCCACTCTACCCTCCGCGGTGAACAAAGCACTTGCTGGTCACCTGGTCCATGGCCCCTGGCCCCGGGCTTCCACAGCCGCAGGCTGAGGACCGCTACTCGGCAGAGGAGGCAGCCGGCAGGAAACTCACGCCAACCTGGCCCCAAATGCCCCAAAGCTCCTTCCCCAGAGCCCGGGCGCAAGGGGCAAGCGGCACCAGCCCATCCTCAGAGGCCCCAGGCTGCCCTCCTCGGCCCATCGCAGTCAGACCCCAGCGCTTGGGCCCAAGGGTCTTGCCCTCCTCTTGCCTTCCAGGGGGCGCTGTACACCACACCCACAACCCCCCATCTGTCCCTGGAGGAGGCCAGGCCAAGGCCCTGAGCTCCCCCTGCTGGGACACCCTGCAAGAGCTCCAGGGCTCCACACCGGACCCGCTGTGTGGCCTCCACCTGGTTGGAGTCCATGGGTCTCAGCTGGCTGGGGGATCAGGGGCAGTGGGCAGTTTTGAGACAAAGCCCCCGAGCCTGAGGGGCGCGCCAGCGAGCAAAGCCTCCTCAAATCACACAGCAGACAAATTTGCCACTATACCTGCAGCACAGAGGGGCATCAGGTCCCAGAGGGAGGGGAAGGGACCCACCAGAGCCCACCAGGCAGGGGAGAGCTGGGTCTCACCCTGACCCTAGGGCACAGCCCTTGCTGGGCACCAGGCGGGCAGTCGGGGACCTGCCGCTATCCGCGTGTGGGGTGCACACGGACTTTGGCAAGCGAAGCATGTTGCTACAGAACTGCAAACGCCTAGAGCCCCTAGGCAGATGGAGTCGGGCTGCTAAGGCTGAAGCCAGGTGGGGACAGCTGAGCACCCCGAGACCCGGGTGTGGGCTGCAGGAAGACGGTCGCAGGCAGAGCCGCCGCAGACCCGGGGGCAGGGCCAGGCTGGGCCCAGCAGGAAGCACAGGACCCACATGGGGTTTCGGGGGCAAGGCCGCACCACGGTCTGGGCCGAGGGTCTCTGGCATTCCCAGGCTCTGGATGGAGTCCACGTGCTGCTGGGCCACAGCCACCTCACTGTCCGCCCAGGGACAGCAAAGGCCCTGGGGCAGGGTAACCCGTGCATCCGCACACAAGCGACGTCGGGGCGCTCTGCAAAGCCAGCCGTCCTGATACCCGAGACAGAGGTCATGCTGTGGGGCTGCTTGCGGTGGGGCAGTGCCACTGCGTGGGGAGGCCACCTGAGGGGCAGGGGCCTTCTCAGTGCCCTTTCGCCTACTTTCCTTCCTCACAATGAACCCTGGGCGGCAGCCCAGCCCAGTTAGAGCAGGCGGGAGCGGACCGGCACTGGCCATCAGCTGACGGGTGGCCGCCCTCCCAGGGCCAAGGGACACTGAAGTCTGAAGAGGATGGTGTCACGGCAGCGATGGTCACAAGATGCCACCAGGCCTGTCGGCGCCAGCGGTCAGTCATCGGGCAACAGGCAAACTCAGGGAACCCTGACAGCACCGTGGGACAGGGACAGGAGGGACACGCGCCCAGGCCCCGAGGCACAGGCAGGAAACAAGCGGCCACGTGGGCAGCAGGGAAGGCAGTACCCACTGGCTAGGGACAGGGAGGGGCTGCAAGAAGTGGCCAAGGGAAGAAGCAGTGCCCACGCCAGGGACAGGGACGAGAGAGACCAAGGGTGGAGCCAGGCTGCTTTGAAGTCTTCCGGCAACTTCTGCGCAAATCACTGTGATTATAGACATCCGAGAACAGCAAGCACCTCCAACCCCTGACACGGCCAACACCCTGGGCTGGGGGCCAGGGAGAGGCTCGGATGCTGGGACAGGACTTCCGGCTGGCTGCCAGGGACCTTCGAGGCGGCCTGTCACCCATCCCCACTCTTCTTACAGAAGGGGACACAGAGGCCAGAGGTGGGCTTGGGTCACAGAGCCGGTCAACACCGGCTGGCCCCGGGGCCCAGATCTGGTGGCCAGACAGTGAAGCTGAGGGACTCCATGTGGACAGGGCTCTGGGGGAAAGAGCACCCCCGGGTCGCCATCCCCGAGCCACGGTCACTCAAAACAGACACCGAGGGCATAAGGAGGCCAAGTGCAGCCTGGGCCGCCCTCCAGGACCGCGTCATGGGAGTGGTGCTGGCCCAGGGAACGCATCCAGGCGGCTCTTCAGAACTTACACAACAGAAGGCCCTGCCAACTCCAGCCAGCAGCAGCCACCCTGACCCAGTGACCCCAGGCCTGCACCTGGGTCCCCCATCAGCCCAGGCACTGAGCTGGGGCATCTGTCTCCGGCCCAAGGCAGCCCCAACACTGAATCAGGACCACAGTGGACTCGCAGACAGCGCACACAGGGCCGGGGAAGGGGACACCACAGGACACAGACAGGCAGCCAGCAGATACTGTGATGGGCACAGGCCCAGGGGTCCACCCGGAGAGCCCCAGCGGGGCTGCTGGGGGCTGGGGAGCCCCTCAGGCGGACTCTGCCCAACTTCCAGCACCCTAGCCAGCGCCCAGAGGGCCTCCGGACTCTGCCCTCTCCTCCAGCCTCCAAAACCCCTTATCTGTCACCCTGGGTGGCCCTGCCCTCAGGGGCCCCCTTGGGAGGGAGCAAGGTCACGCCCTGCAGGGCTTACACTTCCCCACCCTTAGATGGGGCCACCTCCGGCCGCTCCCCGCCTCCCCCGAGCCCGTGGCCCCCGCCCGCCCGGCCAGCGGGGCGCGCTCTGGGAAGCGGCCACTGTTCAGCCGCGAGCGCTCGCTCTGTGCCATGGATGTGCAGCCGGCAAACAGACCACAGCCCGGGCCAGGGCAGTGACCCAGGCTGCAGGCTGGTGTCCTCCCCGGCTCCTCGGAAGGGTTTGTCTCCATCTCCTCAACTACTATTTGACTCCGTAAGGAGACAGCCCCGGCCCAGCAGCAGAGCCTGAGGGTGTGCCTGGTCCAGGCCACCACCTGCCTGCTCCGCCCAGGGCGGCTGGCTGCACAGTTGGCACCCGGCCCTCCCAGCCCTGAGGCTGAAGGCCAGTCGGGTGGAACCAGGCACGGGAGAGGGGCTGAGGGGAGGCGAGACCTCCAGGCTAGGCACCCACCCAACCTGCCCGGCTGGCGGAGGCTGCAGATGCGCCCAGGTGCCCGCACCAGGGCCCGAACTGCACTTGGCTAAGGAAACCCCAGCCCCAGACGTCTGGCTGGGCTCCCGGCGCCCTCTTCCACACCCAGGCTCCGATTGAAGGGCGCAGGGAGGAGCCCGGAGGAGGAGTCCAGGGCGTCTCTCCGCACCCACGGGGCTGGCCGGGCCAGCGGCTCGGCTGGGGGACGCTGGGCCGGGCCCGTCCTCCGGGGTTGTCCGCGGCCCGGCCCGGTCGCACGTGTGGCGGAGCGCGGGGCGGCACGGCCACGCCCCGGGACGGGAGGCGGAGCGCGGAGCCGTGGCCGGCAGCACGTAGACGGCCGCCAGGTCCGGGGCGGCGGGGCCCGGGAAGGAGTCGCCCCCCGCAGCCCACCTTGCGCGTCGCCGCCGCTGGTCAGCACCCCGATGGCCTTGCCGGCCCCCGACGCGCGCAGCTTCTCCAGGTCCACAGCGGCCATGGCGGCGACCCAGGAGGCGCTGTTCCGCCGCTGCTGCGCTCGCCCCGCGCCCTGCGCGCCCCGCCCCGCGCCGGCCCCGCCCCGCGCCACTTCCGGCGGTGACGAGAGCGAGAGTGGCGGCGGGGACGGGCTCGACCCAGCCGGGGTCTGCAGCCGCCCAGGCTGAGGCGCTCCTCGTGGGGGCGTTTGCAGTCGGGCGTGTTGGTGAGCGGCCTGGAGCCGGGCCGGGCAGAGTCCCGGGATCCCCGCACTCCGGGAGGATGAGGCAGGACAACCGTGCACGTTTAAGCCCAGCCTGGGGGGACCCCGTTCCCAAAGAAATAGAAAGGGCCGGGGATGCAGCTCTGTGCAAAGGCCTTGGCTTCCGTCCCCAGCGCCAAAAAAAGTTGGGGGGCCGGGGATGTGGCTCAGTGGCACCGCGCCTGCCTCGCAAGCTCAAGGTCCTGCGTTCGATCCCCGGTACCAAAAAAAAGAAAAGCTGGGACAACACGTTTCTCCCCGACTTAGGGGATTCGCGAGGTCCTCGGAACCCCACCCCCGGCAGCGTGGGCATCGCGGTGAGCGGCGCCCTCTGCTGGGCGGTCGGGGTGGGCCCAGCCGCAAGGACTGGGCAGGCAGCGCTCCCGGGGGGGGGGGGGGGGGGCCTCCCGAGCAGGCTCCGGAGTGGGGGCGGCGCTGCCGGATCCCCCCCCCCCCCGGCTCGGGGCCGGGCCTCGTCGCGAAGCGAGCCCTCGCGGCCGGGAGCGTGGTGCACGGGAGTGCGGGTCGCTCACGGACGCCTACGTGTGGCCTTCATTTCCTGCTTCCCATCCTCACCCATGTGCGCCTGCCCGTGGGCTGTGAAATACACAGCGTCAGCAGTGAGAGGAGCCCACACTCGGAAGTGGCGGGGCAGACAGCAAGGCGGCGACGTGCGGAGACCCTGCGCAGCCCGAAGGGTCCATGGAAAGGGTGGCCGCTCCCCGAACACACACAGGACTAGGGTTAGACGCAGCCCCCGCCCCCGGTCCCAGACGGGAAGCAGGGTCTCAAGCACACACTTGCTCCCGTGGGCTCGCAGAGAGGCAAGCAACATGCTGTCTGTCCGTCCTCACAGGGAATATTAGGCTGCCTGAGAAAGCAAGGGCATCCTCACACACAGCCACCTGGGTAGGCCTTGAAGGCACTGAGCTAAGTGAACGAAACCACCCACGAAAAGACAAATACTGCAGGATCCCCCTCAAGAGGTCCCTACGGCAGGCGGCACTGTGGGCAGAAAGTGGGTGGAGGTGCAGGGCTGGGGACACAGGTTCGAGGCCAGTGTTAACTGGAAGGAGGTTGGGATTGGGAAGAGGAGGTGGGCAGTGGCGATGGCTGCACAACACTGCGAACGACTTCAGTGCCCTTCAGAATGGTTTCCATGCTAGCACTGGGCGTGGTGGCACACACTGTAGGGGTGGATAGAGTGAGGTCACGCTTGGAGACAGCCCGCATCTGGCCCTGCTCTTCTGTGGGGTGTCCTGTACCTCTGCCGCGGAGTCACTCGGGCTGCAAGCCTGCTTGCTGTTGCCATGGAGACAGCCCTGGGGTTTCCTCACCAGCCCATGCTGGCTAGCGGCTTGGAGACCTCCAGGTCCCGGCAGTGGTGGCAGGTCCTCGCTGCCCGGTGGAACTGAGAAGCCCTCTGTTCCTGCTCCAAGTGTGTTCTGGGCCCCCTGACTCAGGATGTGGTGCAGCCGCAGCCCACTCACCGGGCTCAGCCCACACCCAAGACTTGGCACAGAGCGCTGTCTCCTGAGGAAGGAGTGGGATCGCTCGGGTTGCAGGCACGGCCGGGCCTGTCCGGGTCCTGGGACCAGCCAAGGTCAAGGTGCCTGGCAGACCCTGGCCTGGGGCAGGCCTATGGCCGGGAGTGTGTTGTTCTGTCTCCTTCTCAGCCCCCGGCTCTCGGGAAGCCACAGTGGCCTTCAAGCTGATGCCCATGTGCCCAGGGTACAGAGGGGCAAACCGTGGAAAAGAATTTGGCCAGATCATCAGGGCCACGGCGCCAGGCCTGACACAGATAAGGCCCCGGGCCACGCTGACCTGGTGTTACAGGAAATGATACTGGAGTTGAAATACGAAGTGTTGTATCTCCCAACCTGCTAACTATACCATAGAAATGGAAGAACAAGTCCTAGGGATGACGGAGGTTAAGAGTTAGACCTTTATTGATAGGACAGCTCCTGAGGGGCAGCAGGGGACCCGAGTGGGTAGCTGGAGACCCCAATCCGTAAGGGAGTTTTATAGGGTGAAACCCACATGGGCCACGCCATGAGCACCCAATAAAGTTACAAGCGTAGTCACCTAGGTAACGGTGTCCAATTGGGAAGCAAGTCATGAACCAAGGGTGGATGGAGAGAACAAGGATTCTCCTAGGGGACAGTGGGTCTAGAGGTCTCGTCACGCCCAGGGCGGCCGATGTCGTCTAGGCTTCGTTAGGCCCAGGTTGGTCCTTTGAGGAAGTGTGCAGGTCTGGTCATTGAGTCTTTATCCTGAGGCCCGAGTTTGGTTCTCAGCCCAGGTGTCTCTGGTGCTGCTGTGGTGTTTCGCCTTTGTCTTGTCCTGACCGTCTGAGGACCCAGCCCTATCTGATGCCTGTGATGTTCCTGCCTGACTCATCTGCCCATAATACTGGGGCCTCACATCAGGAGATGGACGGGTGTCGGAGGACACTGGGGACGCAGCTGTGGGCCTGTGAGTGCCTGGAATGGACGGCCCAGCCCTGACCACCCTGCCCAGCCAGCGCAGGGCTGGCCACAGGCTCCTTTCACATCAGTCACTTCTCGGACAGCCTGCTCTGCAAGTCACTTACAGTTTGTAGGACAGCATGTGACACGCCTGTAATCCCAGCTCTGGGAAGCTGAGGCAGGAGGATCTCAAATTGGAGGCCTGCCAGCCCACCTAGGAAGGGGGAGTTTGCTCAAAAGTAAACAAACAAAAAGGGCTGGGATGTAGCCTGGTGGTCAAGCACTTCCCCGCCATTGCAAGCCCCTGGGTTCAATCCCAGAACTGCAGAAACAGAGAGAGAAGCTTAAATGTGGCATGATCTCCCTGCTACAAAAACCAAAAATGTGTATAAAAGAAAGCAAAATAAAAGATGGAGAATAGGAAGCAGGAAGGTAGACCTTTTCCAAAAGGGAAGGAGACCAAGAGAGGAGAGAGGGCGGGGAGAATTGCAATGTGTAGGGTACCGGCCAGGGCAGATTGCAAGCCAAGCCAGGGGAGCCACTGCTCTGTCTGAGCGTGCAGCTCACGGTAAGATAGAGAAGTAGAGTTTACAATGAACAGTGTATTTGAAGGTGGGGAAAAGGGGAAACAGCCCCTGGAGGGCCAGTGCATTCCAAGGGAGACACCTGCATTCCCAGCTGCAGCTCCTTTTATTGAGAGCACAGGCTCCTGGAATCTGACTGGCTCCCTGGCTCGTCTTTCAACCTCACCTTGGATTTCTCCTGGCCGTGACTTTTCCCTGTCCCTTGGTGAAGGGTAAAATTATGGTTTTGTGGACAGGAAGTTTACACTTAAGGATTAAGCAAAGGGGAAGTTTGTGATGCTTATGTTAATCGCTCTTCCAGGATCTTGCAGAGCTTAGTTTCTTTGCCTTTGTCCTTTAATTGCTGGAGTCTAATCTGCAGGGTAGAAGCCTCCCTTGGTATATGTTAACTTTTTTTTTTTTTGGTACCGGGGATCGAACTCGGGTCCTTGCGCTTGCACAGCAGGCGGCAAAACCACTGAGCTAAATCCCTCGCCCGGTATATGTTACCTTTGAACAAAGCTCTGAGGCCTTCCTCCTGTCCTTCCCACCCACTGGCCCCTGTCCCTACGTCAGGCACGCGCACCAGCTGCCCACGAGGAAAGTGATCAGTATGTGCTGAAACGAGTACCAATAAAATAGAAAGGAGAACTGTTTGCCAAGGGAAGGCCATCTGTAATTCCCTGTAATGGGCCCCTGTCTTCATTGTCCTCCATTTTCTAGCTGCACACTGTTTTAAAGCTTACTTCTCATCTGTTCACTCACCAAGCCTGCACTCATTTTTGTTGTCGGGACAATGTCCCTGGCTCTGACTGTCATTGTATTTTCAGTTTCAGGGATTCCACGGATGCTGCCACGCGCCCCCCGGTGGCGCTGGGCTCTCACTGCGGCAGACGCTGTGCTCGCCTGCACAACCAGGAGGGGCCAGGTCAGTGGGCGGCACAACAGGAAGGAGAGATGGTGCTGGGGGCCTGCGCCTGGCCAGCAGGCGGTGGCCAGGAGGCATGAGGTGAGGCCTGAGGGTGTGTCCTTTAGGGCAGGGATCAGCTAGCACCTCCCTTGGGCTCCACCCTCCCTGCAGCTCAGAGCCAGGCCAGGGGGCAGCTCAGGGACAGCGGCAGGCAAGAAGAGGCTGGTCTCCGAGGCTGAGTGGCCAAGTGGGCCTGTCCCTGGGACACCCCTACACAGGCAGCAGCCCAGCCCTGGAGGGTGGGAGCACTGAGGGCACTGCAAGTCCCACATCCCTAAGATTCAGAGAAGGACCCTAGTCACTAGGTTAACAGTTGGGTGATTTTCCAGTTCTGCTTACAGGGCAGGGTTTGTGAGGAATGTGGAATTCATTTAATCTAATCAAGATTCCAGCCAAGAGTTCCAGCCCCAACTTGCTCTCTGAAATCCACTGGTTTCCTGAAATCCTTTTTCTGAGCCCAGCGGGCCTGTCAACACCACCAGATTCTTCACCTGCTTCCCCTCTAGGACCCCCAGGTGGAACCCGATGGTCCCAGGAAGCCGCCTCTGGCAGGACTGATCACTAGTAATCTCAAATCCGCAAAGCCAAGATCAGGGCCTGGGGACCAGCCCTGAGGCAGCCCCCTGCAGACAGGCAGAGGTCAGGGCTGCCATGTGTCCCCTGCTAAAGAAAAAGTGTGCATGACACTTGCTAAAGATGCCAAAGCAAAGCCAGGCCGGGTGGTATTACTGGGATTTGAGGTGCTGGAGGCTTCTCCTAGAGGTGGTTTCTGGGTTCTTTCTGTTCTGAGCAAAGAACCAGTTGGTCAACAGAAGCGAAAAAGGTAAGGAGGTTTTACACTTAGTAAAGATAAGAAAAGAAACAGGCTTGGCAGAGTGAGTTTGGGCCAATAAAAGGAGGAAAAGTACACTGCACACTGTGGGAGCAGCGGCACAGAGCGCTGGGTGACCCCTCTGTATCTCCCGTCCTCAGGCTGGGTCAGGTCCAGGTCCCCTTTGGAAACCTGCTCAGTTCTCTGGGAGGAACTAGAGACGGTGCCCTCTGACGGGTGCACAGCAGGGCTAGGGGAGCTCTGTGAATGTGTCCGGGGACTTTGTACTTGGAGGCCACATCCAGCTCTGCCCTGCCCTGGGCTCCTGCCTCGGTGGAGCACATCTGTAATCCCAACACTTGGGAGGCTGAGGCAGGAGCAATGAGAGTTCCTGGCCAATCTGGGCTACATAGTGAGACCCTGTCTCTAAAATAGATAGGAGGGGGTTGGGGCAGACTTTGTCCAAGGGGGCCACTCTCAGGAAGACTTGGCCACAGAAGAGAGAGATGGCACTCCGTGCCGAATCCACAAGAACAAGCTGGGTGGCCATGGTGGGATCACTGGGAATAGCACAGGTAGCACTGAGAGGCCTCGGCCCTCCATCTGAGAGAGGAGACCACTTCCATATGGAATTGGGCAGCTGTGGGTTAAGGAGGCAACTGTGCTCTTTGTAGAATGCACCTGAGCAGCCATGACAACTCCTGTAACCTATCCGCAAAGGAGCGTGATGGACTCAGGAAGTCCTGCTAGAGCTCTTTGCTCTCCCCTCCCACTGCTCTGCTGTGTAAATCCTGCTTGCTCTATTCCCAGGGAAACTCCAATGGAATTAAGCGTCATAGATGGGGAAAAACGGTATATAAGGAAACAAAACTTCTCTTCGGGGCTCTCAAGACTGACAGGAGTCACTCACTGAAGCGCCGGCATCGTCAAGAGCCGCTTTTGCTCCTGTCTTCCTGTTAAAGAGTTACCTGTGCTGGGGCCCTGTTTCCTGCTTCACGTCCACCTCAATCTGGGCAGCACCCCAGGCCAAGCGGAGGAGAAACAGAAATAAAAGTAACAAAGACTCAGGAAATCTCTGAAGTGCCAGGCCAAAGCACCTGTGCTAGATCCTGTAGCCCAGCCTTCACTTTCCCCCACTCAAAGGAGTTGCAGGTTGTCAGAGCTCTCTGGCAGTCATTTCTGGCAATCGCCCAGAGATCCATTGACAGGCCTCGGGGTAGGGTGCATGTCTTACAAAGTCTGAAAACCTGGTTTATCTTGGCTCTTCCTAACCCTCCGCAGCCCGGTACATCTTTCCAGTTCTGTCACACTCCTTTCTGCTGGCATGGACCCAAGAACTTTCCACCGTTAACTGTAATAAATGTAGCCACTTTTTCTTTGACCACTGGGTGTGTGTTTGCAATTCTTTCCTCACCAGACACAAGGGCCTGGAGTCTATCACCGGATCAGGAGGAGCCATCAAGGCTAGGGACTGGCTGAGCCGACCTGACACATCCTTGAAGGATCAGGTCAGCATGGTGGGCTCTTGGGGGGGGGGGGAATCTGTCAGCTGTGGGGGAATCAGAAAAACTGAACTACGAGGGCCGAGGATGGTGCCCAAGGTCAAGGCCAAGTAAAGCACCCACCAGAGCCTGACTCCAGCTGGGTCCAGGAGAGACTATGTCCCCCACCCAGTCCCAAATCCCTGTGTTGGAGCTCTAATCCTCAGTCCCGCGGAATGCCAGTATTCTTGGAGACAGGGTTTTTATTTATTCATTTTGTGGTGTCTTTGGGGGGGGCCAAGGTGACCCTGAATTCACTGTGTAGCCCAGGATGACCTCAGATCCTCTTCCCTCGGCCTGCGGAGGGCTGTGGTTAGGGCCCTGTGCCGCCACACCGGCCTTCAAGGCCAACACAGTGTGGCAATGGGCTCCCAGTGGTCTACCATGTTCCTACCATCCAGAAGCAGCCAGAAAGACTGCTTGGTAGAATGGTCTTTAGAAGACGCCATTACAGTGCAGCTAGGTGGAAACAGGTCATGGGCCGGAGCAAGGTTAGAAGGCTGTAAGGCTTTGAATCAGCGTCCTCTGTATGGCACTGTGTCTCCCACAGCCAGGATTCACCGGTCCAGCGCTCAAGGGGTGGAGATGGGAATGGTCCCACTCACCATTACCCCTAGGGACCCACTAGCAGAATTTTTGCTTTCTGTTCCCGGGACCTTATGCTCTGCTGGCCTTGAAGTCTGAGTTCCAGAGGGGAAAGGCTTGTACCAGGAAGCACGACAATGATTCCAATGGACTGGAAGCTGAGACTCCCGCTGGTTATTTTGGTCTCCTCATGACTCTGAGTAAATAAGCTGAAGGAGGAGTCTCAGAGTTGGGGGGACCCAGGCTATCAAGGAGAAAGTGGACTATACAGGGCCTTGGGCACCAGGGCCATGCCCGGATGCCACCCGGGGGCACGGAATGCTTCCTGCAGCAGCCCCTTCCTTCCCACCCCAGTGGGTCTCTCAGCCAGGCTGGCCTGTGCTGCAGCACCCGGCATACAGACCCCCAAAACACGCAGCCACTACCCAGCACCTCGAAACCCCAGAAGTGATTTTAATTTCAGGGCACACGGTGTCCTCGGGTCCCCACGCCCATGGGTGTCTGCAGAGTGGCCGGGTGCCAGGCTGAGATCTCCTGTCTCTCCAGGCGCCGTGTATGCGTGTGGGGCGGGGTCCTCGTGGGCTCAGGAGAAGGAGGGCGTCTCGGCCAGCGGGCGGGCCATGCTCTGGATGGCCCACTGTAGGATGCCCTCGAAAGAGTGCTGTGTGTGGGAAGCCAGGCAGTCACACTGGGCAGGTGCCCCAGGCACGGTGCCCGCCCCGCCTGCATCCTCAGCTCCCCCAGGACACCCATGGGGTGAAGGCCGCATCGTCTCCTCACAGCACCCACAGAGTGCAGCCCCACAGCCTTTCTGCTCCTTAGGTGGCTTCTTCCTGGTGCCTCTTTGGTCCTGCTCTGGGGCTTGACTCCCATCTGGAAGGACTGGGGTCACAGGGACCTCCCATTTTCCAAGTATCTGCCCTGCAGCCCAGATCTCTGATGCTCATATCAGCCGAGGTACCTGCACCTCTGAGGCCCTGGGGTGAGGTGTGCCCCGTGGCCCCCTGAGATGCCACGCGGGATGTGGAGGAGAACAGGTGTTGGCCACTTGTGGCGTGGAGCACTGGGGCAGTTTGTCCTCCTGGCAACTTCACCCACGCGTCTTAGGGTGGAGGGCCCGAGGGATGAGGGGCAGGAACCCGCCTGGCTGCCCTGGGAGAGTCGGGCTCCAGCCGCCTGGCACTGGTTCCAGGGCCTGGGGACCCAGGGGTACCAGGAAGGGTGGAGAATCATGGTGGGCGGGGCCTGGGACCCCCGGAGAAGGGACAAAGTAGTGGTCCTGATTTCCATCCCAGGAGTGCATGGCTGCAGCAGCCAGTGTGCCCGTGGGGGCCCGGGAGGGTCCTGGTGAGGCGGTACCTCGCTTAGGAGGGACTCCAGGTCATCCCGGTGCAGGACAGGCTCCTGGCCAGCATGGCTGTGGTTCACCTGGAACCCACGGAGGGCAAGGGTCGACCCAGCCCGCGCCCGCTGGAGACCTGGCAACGGGTCCCTCCCAGGGGCCAGGGCTGGGCCGGGCTCCGCGCATGGGCGTACTGGGCACGGAGCTCAGGGTCGCCTGACGGGGACCCCAGGGCCCCTGACCCAGTGCCCTTCTGGATAGAGCCACGGGACGTAGATTTAAATTCTGGAAGAGGAAGTGCGCTCCCCCAGCCGCCCGGGACGCCCGAGTCCCGCGCTGACCTGGGGTGGTCCCGGGACCCGGCTGGGGCTGGGGCCGGGCGCTGCCTCCTGGGGCTCTCGGTCTCCGGAGCAGGACTTGCAGCGCGGGGCGGTCCTGGGGAAGGGGGAGGCTGGGCGGGCGCACTGGGCGGGGGGCGGGATGCGGCCTGGTTCCACCCGCCCC